CGACGATGTGGCGTGAAAGGCAAAGGTGTCCCAGGAAGCTTCACTGACAGAAAAAGTAAACAGAAGTTCCATTTCTCCACCCTCCTCTTCCTCAGTCTTCATCTGTACGTGGCTCCCGGCCAACAAAAGACGGCAGTGCTGTTCGGCTGCAACATTGTGAGAGCCTAATCCATATCTCCAGACCTCAGGCCTAATCAAACAGGCTGAATGTAGGGAAGGAGTCAATAGCTGCTTAATTACTAACGAGAGTAATGACAATAACAATCACGTTCCTTTCCGGCTGACGCAATTAAGGGAGGCATGAAAGGCATACCGAGGGAGAGCCGCCTCCAAGCAAGGCAGCAATTAGGGCAGGAGCCGAGGAGGCAGCTTGTAGCAAAGGCATGAGAAGAGCTGCAAACACTGTCTCAGCCCTGTCTTTCGTCTTACACCTTGTCCTCCTTTCAGGCATCAGTATCATCAGTTGGTGCCATACACTGACAGCGCCGGGCTTCATTATATCTGTCCTGCCCATCGGTGGTGTGAACACCGTGTTGTTCAACCGGCTTCCACCAGCACGTCGCTGGCGGCTGCCATGTTTAATGACCCTCCTCCTCCTCCTGTATCCAGCACTCAGTAACCACAGCGTGAGACGTGGGGAAACACTCAATTTCTGTAATGGCTTGAAATGGAGTAAATATCACTCGCCTCCCTGCATTTGTTACTCATTCAAGCCCCTTTATCACTTGCTGCCTAATTTCCTGGTGCACTGACAAAGGCAGAGGGCGTTTCCATGGAGAGGGAACCCTTGCGGTTTTCATGCTTCTCTCAACTTGGCACTCTGTTCATTTCACAGCAATTATACTGAGTCATTCCACACATTCTGCCACAGAACTCAAGGGAAGGACCTTTCAGCTAATTGCTTTCAAATGGAAATAAAAAATAATCACACGGCTACTTTGTCAAAATGACTCCTGTTATGCAGCATTTGGTATGGGAAATTGATGTGGGATTCCATTTAATGTCCCATTTACAATACCCCCCGCTCTACTTCCAGATGAAAACCTTTCTTTAAATGCATTTAGGATAAGGTCCTGACATCGCATGCACCATGATTCTTCAGTTTCTCAGAAGTCAACATTTGTGTGGACAACTTTTTATTATAGTCGAGGTATTTTTCAATGTCTTTTACCTGCAATGTGTGGGTCTGTTTTTGCTGGAGCAGCGCCTCTGTAGTGTGAAATTCACTAGTCAACACCTATAAATGCTGCTATTTATTATGACATTAATATTTAATGGTGTGTTTCATAGTTATTGACTTAGTCTTTATGTCCTTACAACACACTAGATTTTCTTTTTTGTTTAACTAACTTCTCCAAGCCTGGAAAGTAAAGGAGATAACTCTAGATTTTTCCTTTTGCTAACATACAGTACTCTTTTTAGAAAATGCAGGTACAAAATCAAGACTTGACGTTGCGCTGTGTGTAAAATATAAATTACTAGCCCAGCCACAAAGTGACTGTAAACACATCAATCATGAATGAGCTGCCAACCTTTGTTTAATATTCTTGTAAAACTGTAAAGAAACAAACTCTAAACAATTACTGGAATGCTGCTGCTAAATAACAAACTGCTGTAAGTCTGAAATGCAACCACATCCCTAGCATCCAGGGTTAAACTCTCTTTGTCCAACAACACGGAATCAACTCTTGAAGAAGACATATTTCATGTATGTTCATTTTCAGCTTTATATTTCTATTTTGTTCCTCTACTGTGAAGTGTCTCCATGCTTTAATGTTCAAAAAGCCCTTTATTTTTCTCATACTGCCTGTGTTGCAGCACCTCTTTTCACCCTCTGTCTGAAACCAGAGCCCAGTCTGCTCGGATTGGTTAGCTGGCTGCCTCTGTTGTGATTGGCCCCTTAGCTTGTCACGTAAAATCTGTTAGAGCGCTAGCAATTAGAAGCAAGAGTGTTGGTATTATGTCCAATGAATGTCAAAAAACAAAAAAAGCTATGTAAACAGCAGTGTTGGGAGCTAAATGCTAATATAGAGTATATATAACATCAGTAGGCTCACAATAACGATGTTAAAATGATGATCTTTAATGTTTAGCATGTTCACAGCCATAGTTTGACATACAAGTTAACATTTGGTAAATAAAAGACAGCTGAAGCAGATAGTAATGTCATTCGTTTTGCAGATCTTTGGTCAGGAACCAAAGGTTTGAGGCTATATTTAAAAAAATCATGGCAATTCATCCAATAGTATTATGGTCGAGATACTTCACTCAAGGCAAAACGAATGTGAGCCTTATAGCGATGCTGAAAAAAGGTCAGTACATTGCTAAAGTCAATAAGATTTGTCAACTGGGAAAAAAGAGCGTCCGTAAAAAGTCACTTTTCACTAGATAAGTGAGAACACTGAATTGATTGTGGCATTAGATTAAGAGTTAGGGGATCAATGTCATTATGTTTATCTTCTGGGGACATCCTCGTGGAACCATGAATGTCTGTTCAAAATCTAACAGCAGTGCATCAAAAAGTTGTTCAGATGTTCCCGTCCGTACAAAATCGGTGGACTAATCTGCCACCCTCACCAGCAAGCTCAGTCTAACTGTAACCAAGCTTTTCGACAGCAAAATTATTTGTGTCAATACATATCGACCATCCTAATATGAGCTGCAGCGGCTTTCCTGTTTAGCGAGCCTCATATTTTGGGGCATATGGTGGGAGGCAGGAAGAGGCAGCTGCTGTTCACCTCCATGAGAGGAAGGCCACTTTGAGAGGATGAGTGGAGAGGGGCCTTTCAGAAGATCTCTGAGTCAGAGCGAGTGGGGAGGCATCAGGATATTATTAGGGAGGTGTGCCTGCTGCCCTGCTATTATGACTGAAAAAAATGCTTCTGCTGCTTGAGGCCCAAGATACACCTGCCCACTGTTTCATCAGGTAGTACAAGTGAGATGTGAGATATAATACTTTTAAACCTATCATTTCTATCCGATTATAGGGCTTTTGACATTTTAGATTGTTGTGGAAGAGACAAAGGCCATCAGGAGGAAACCTGTTCACCGCAGACCAGTGCTTGAATTGGAATAAAAAAGGTGCCAGTACTCTAAATCAGCAACAAGTATTTGGCACAAAGTCATAGTATATCCTATAATGCTGGTGGGTTTGTCTCTTTACTGTATATTTTAGAAAGGCTCACTGTACTTAAACAAAATGACTCAGGGTGCATCTGAGATTAGAGGGGGTGCAGTGGTAAAGTGCTATTTTTATAAGTGGGGAGTGGACCTGACACCCTCTAGTATAGGGGGGTCCGGGGGCATGCTCCCCCGGGAACATTTTTTTTAAAATATTGAAGTTAGATGCATCAATCTGGTGCACTTTGAGAGCAAAATGAAGAGATATATGGATACCTCTCAACATCCATAATGAAACAACTGTAAACAGATTTACTTTTTCTTTATGGATATAAAAGAAAGTAAAGCTTGACTCCTACTGGCTGGTTAAATGACTCCTCGTCCCTGAGGCCACTCCCAGTTTTTTGTGCCATTTTGCTGGATTTATTTGTCAATAGCGTTGCTGCACAAAGTGATAGCCCTCTAGTTTAAATCTACTACCCAAAAAGAAACATATGGAGATGGGTTACTATTTAAAAAAAATTGCAAATCTA